GATTGATCATCAACATTTTGTAATGTCTTCATGGCGCCAATAAAGTAGAGATCATGACGAGTCGGAGGAGGGTAAGTAAATAATTCGGAGGAGGTTTAATTTCCCTCCCCCCCGGCTCTTTCCTTGTATGGTGCTGGGTCGGTGCTAGCGACGCTTCCCTGCACCCGACGGAAGCGGATTCTCTATTTTGAAGACTTGATCTATTGTGACATGACTAGTCATTTTGGCTCAAGTAAATGTCGTGCCCAGCTTTTCTAAGCGAAATGTGCACGTGAGTTTTGAGAGAGATCCACTGTGCCGGATCTTATATACGAGGGATAGAGTAGATCAATCATGGCTCATACGTGGTAGTAAGTCGACGTAGGGCGGAGGTATCTCCCTCTCTTTCATATTCGGCACAAAGGTTTCGGTTTAAGTAAATAAGTAATTGAGTATCGCATGTCGTCGAGCCCCGATCGTCGCCGGGGTACGTTCTTTTCCCTGTTCGGGCCCTTTGTAGGCATTGTCGGCGGGCATATGTATCCCTTCGCAGGAAAGAATGTTGCTACTAGTGATGCTGGAACTATAGCGGGAAATTGTCGACCCAGGTCCCAAAAAAAAAAGTGATCTCACTAATATGCCCGTGGGGCTTGGCTCTAGCTTTTCTACAGCGGTGGCCGTTGTGCTTCATCGTTTGCGTAATCGTAGCGCCTGGCCGTTGTGCTCCAGGCTTCCCGCGGGGTAATTAAGTGGAATTATAGCGGGAAACTGTAGACCAGGAAACCATGAAGCCATGCAGCTGCCTACGCTTATGGGGCGACGACGAAGCGCAAACGAACCAAGGTCGCACCAGACCTTCAAGAAACCAGTAGGAGCAAGCTGGCCCTAGTATAGAGTAGCTCCACCAATACGATCATATACCTGAAGGCATCTTAGTGATTATTCGCGGGCCGTCTCACTTTAAAAAAGTTCGATCTCAGTAGTGGCGCCGCCCTCTGTGCCGAGTGTCCACAGCTTGCAGCTTCAGGTCCTAGCTAGCAAGTGGCCACATCAAAGTGCTTGCCCTTTCCGTGTTCGATCCTCTAGGGTTTAGCTCTTGCCTCTCGGGGTTCATCCGATCAGGCCCATCATTGTTCTACCTATGAGCCGTCGACGAATTTGCCCGTGGGGTTTTGGCTCTAGCTTTTCTGCGGCGATGGCCGTTGTGCTTCATCGTCTAGTATTTTTAGGTGCCTGGCCGTTGTGCTTCAGGATTCTCGCAGGGTAATTAAATGTTCTTACT